AAGGCCCCAAGAGTCTCCACGAAGCCCCCGTTCGGCCCCCGAGAGGCCTCCGAGAGGCCCCCGACACGCATCCCGAGAGGCTTCCGCGACGCCAATGGCCCACGACCCAGGCACGGGGGCGGGATGGACCGAAGGCCGTTAGATGAATGACAACGAGGCGCCCTGCTGCTCAGCTACTCGGAGGAGCGAAGTGGCATGGGAAACCATTGCTGCGATCAATGTGTCAACAAACGGAGGATTGAGCTGGAAGCTCCCAGATTTGGGCCGGAATGCAAAGAAAGAGCCAAGTGACCCGAAAGCTTCATCTGTATCGGGGAAGGCACTGCAGAAGCTGGTGTACCTGCAGTTCAGAGGCGAAGCGAAGCCTTCGAAGCGAACATCAAAGCGCTCCTGCAGCCCCGTGAACACCTCGTGCCCGATGGCTGCCTGCGTCCCGCCTCCAAGAAGGGCTTTGCCCGCCGACGTGCCCTCCGCACGCTGGGGCGTGCTAGAATGCCTGCTGGCCCTCTGGCAGGGTCTCTGCAATTCTGCGAGGGCGCCCCACGCAGTCGGCCCTGTGACGGCCCCAGGCTCGCCCGAAGAATGCTGCAGCATGCGCAGGGGCAAACCAAAGACCCCCCCACCCACCCTCCCAAGACGCCAAAGCCATCTGTGATACGAGGCGCGGGGATTTGTACATAACCACCGCCTGGGGGAACGATCTTCGGGGGCTTCGGCAGGCTGTGGATGTATGTGCCCCCATCCCGCAGGCCCGAATATCCATACTCACCGCCTGCCGAGGACCCGGATGATCGATCCCCCTGGCGGCGGCTATGAATGACCGCCGCCTCGGACCTGCAGACCTCAAGGTGCCCCAAAGATGCCACAAGAGGCTCCAAGGAAGCTCCCAAGTGGACGCCAGCCGAGGAGCCCTCTCAGCACTGGGGGGCCGAATGCATCAGGGCATTTGCAATGTGTCACTGCGGTTTGCATATCAAGCTTTCTGGTCTCAGATGGCCGCAATGAGGCTTCGGACATGGCCAGTACGACCGCCGAGGGCACAAGAAGCCCCAAAGACAAGCCAACACGGCCCCGAGAGAAACACCACACGGCCCAAGAGCCTTCCAACATGACCCAGGACCGCACCGCGAGGCCACCAAGATGGCGCCAAAACGCGACTAGACGGCGAAAAGATGGCTCTACCAACCCTCTGCGGGAGAGCTTGGTAGCACCATCCTGCCGAAGGCAACACCGAGACTGCCACCTCGGCCCCGAGATGCTCTGCAGAAGCTCCCAAAGCGCACCCCCCCTCCCCGGGGAAGCCTTCAAGAGGTCCCAAAGACGCCTCAAACAAGTCTCTGCCATTGTCCCAAGAGGCAGCACAAACACCATACAACGTGACGGCCAGGCCACGATTGAGCAGCGTGGCTCTGCTTGCCACACGACCTCAGCATGGTGTGGGTAAGCATGCTCGGGAGAGCTCGACAGAAACAGCCCGCATGCATGCCGCTGCGCTGCTGGCACGGAGGCGGTGCTTGCCGCAGGCGACACGATAACGCAACAGCATGCAGAATAACGCGTTGCAGAATGCCTCCTCATCGACGTTAGAATTCGCCCGCTCGTAGAGGCCACGCAGTTTGTCGTAGTGTGTGCGGTTCAGTCTTAGCACTGTGACTCCATGACACACCTGCAGAACACGGCCTCCACTGTCGACGGCTGCGGTCACAAGCGCAACACCTTCGCCTGCGGATACCACCGCGCGCAACACCGACTGCACTTCATCTATTGCTACTGCTGTTGCTGCTCGCATCTCTCTTGCCACAGCAGCTGCAGACCCCCCCTTCAGTCCTTTCCCACACAAGTCGTCTATGAGCATTTTCTCCAATTGGTCGAAGTCGTCGGGCGCCAACGATGGCAATAATGGCTCTTCTGGCGCCAGTCGGCCGTCTGAGATTGCCTTGATGCCTGCCTGGTGTAGCCATTGGAAATGCCATTTCTCGAACGAACTGGTTAGGCTTTGGTCCACGAAGCCGTGCTTCTGACAAATAGTTGCGAATGCACTTCGGAGGCGTTCTAAAGCACTTGCTCGAGCGGTCTCTTCAGAAAGAGACGGTGAAGGCAGGCGAACTTCGCCACCTACTCGTCCACGTTTTGACCCACGCACGGGAAATCCAGCATCGATACTGTGGCCTGGTGAGCTCACGTTGGCATCCAATCGCCTCGATGCTGGTCGCATTCTTCGCGACTTCGCGGCGCCAGCGGCACCAGAGCTGCCAACACTCAATGGCACCGCTGGGGCAGCAACCATGCGACGGCCCCTCCTCTGCTTGGCGGGTGATTGCTGTGCAGATGCCGCAGGGCCGAGGCGGATGGAACTTCGCTTTTTCTTAGCGCGGCCCACTGCTGCCTCAGCTTGTTTGGTGGCTTGATGGTGTGGGGAAATCCGTAAGCCACTACATTTCTTCGTCATGTGTCGCAAGCGCAGCCCACAGGGGCAACGACGCTCGAGCCTGAATGGGTACAGCAGTGATTGGTGCGCTGGCGTGCTAGTTGCCAGGGCGCTGGCACGAAGACACGCTGAGAAAACGGTCAAGAACTGTTGCTTAGCGTGTCGCGGCGGCGGCCCTGGCGACACGCTGTGCCCTGCGAGCGGATAGCGTGTCGCTCCGCTCTGCGGGGCGGGAGACTCGGGACGGCTCGGGATGTGAACGCCCGGGGCCGGGAAGTGGAGAGCGTGTTGCGCGCTGAAGCGCGGTGGGCCAGGACTGCCAGCGCGACACGCTATCCAGAAGTTCCCGATCGTAGGCTGTGGCTGGTCCCCTCACCCCCTCATCAACCTCGAACTGCTCCTGCTCCTACTCCCGTTCCCTCTTCCAACCCCACGCCCACTGCTCACTTCATCCCCCGCTGCATATGATGACTCTCTTTGTTCCCCTCACCCGCTTCCTCCCCCTCCCCCCCCCTCCACCTGATCCTCTTCATCATCCGCCTCCACCTGCTGCTGCTCCCTCCTCATTATTCTCCTCGTTCTTCCTCCTCCCCCCTCTCCGACTCGTCCTCCTCCCTGTCCGTAGACCTGCTCTCCTTCACCCCCCCCCCTCCCCCCCCTCGAACCTGCTACCTCCCGCTTCCCACGCTCCCTCTGGACTCCCCTCCTCCACATGTTCCTTACTATCGTCCTATTCCTCCCCCTCCTCCTCCTCCTCCTCCTCCTCCTCCTCCTCCTCCTCCTCCTCCTCCTCCTCCCCCTCCTCCTCCTCCTCCTCCTCCTCCTCTCCTCCTCCTCCCTCCTCCTCCTCCTCCTCCGCCTCCTCCTCCTCCTCCTCCTCCTCCTCCTCCTCCTCCTCCTCCTCCTCCTCCTCCTCCTCCTCCTCCTCCTCCTCCTCCTCCTCCTCCTCCCCTCCTCCCCTCCTCCTCCTCCTCCTCCTCCTCCTCCTCCTCCTCCTCCTCCTCCTCCTCCTCCTCCACGTTCATCCGCCCTCCCACGAGGAACCCACCTCCAACCATCGAAATATGAAGCACAGAGCACATCAACGTCACGCTAAAGTGGAGCATTTCGCGATCCCCCTTGAGGGGCCTCGCCAGGGCCTCTGGCCTCTGAGAAGGCTGGAGGAGGAGGAGGAGGAGGAGGAGGAGGGAGAAGCAAGCAGAGGATGAGGAGGAGGAGGAGGAAGAGGAGGAGGATGAGGAGGGGGAGGAGGAAGAGGCGGAGGAGGAGGAGGGATGAGGAGGGATGAGGAGGGATAACGAGGAAGGCCGACAGATGGAGGAGCATCAAGGATCCAGGAGGAAAGGCAGATGAAGGAGAGATGTTGGAGGACATGTAAGGAAGCGGGGAGAGAGAGGAGAGCGGTAAGGGAGCAGGAAGCAGGAAACCATAGAGGAGGGATAAGGAAAAGGAGGCAGCAGAGAGGAGGACAGGAAAAGGAAGGAGGGAGGCAGAAGGGAGCCAGGAAGGATGCGCTCGAGGGAGCCAGGGAGGAAGGGTGGGGGAGGGGAAGCGTAGGGCACGGTCGGGAACCTTTGCTCAGCGTGCCGCAAGGTCGGCCCCGGCAGCACGCTGTGCACTGCGAGCGGATGGCGTGTTGCTCTGCCCCCCCGAGGGAGGGAGGCCGGGAAACGATCAGGGCGTTGCGTTGACGTTCGGGCACTGGGACGTGGATAGCGTGTCGCACCGAGGCGCGGTGTGCCACCCAAAAGTTCTTGACAGTACAGTGGTTGGGGCCTTCTGGACCATCAGGACGATTGGGGAGTTCATGTGGGACGAGGGAGGGGACAGAAAGACAGCAGGAAGGAGAGAGACGATAGGGGCGGGAAGCGTGGGAGGGAGGAGAGTGGAGTGGGGAGGGGGGGGGAACAGGACGGGGGGGAGGAGAGAGGGAGCAAATCGAGGGAGCAGGGAGGAAGCCGGAAGAAAGACGGACGACGATGTACTCAACTTCGTGGCTGACAGCGACCCACTCCGATGATGTGCCCCTGAGGAACCCGGCTCGCTGAGGAATCTCGCGGCTCCAGGAACGCAGACGAGAAAGGGCAGAGGATTTTCGTAAGAGCGAGAAGGAGTAAGACAATGAGAGGAAGACCGAGAAACACGTAGTGGGAGAGAGGATGGAGACGGGAGGAAGGAGCTCGAATGGGTGAACGTGGAAAGAGGAGGACTAGGTGCAAACGAAGGACACGGGATGGAAGTAGCGATTGGAATGTTCCCAGACGGGCCTCCACGATGAGACGGGAGGAGGGGGGAGAGATTAATGAGACGACTGAAAGGAAAAGGGAGGGGCAGAAAGAGAAGAGGCAGGAATGTGGCAGGGGGGGGAGCATGGACGAGGAAGGAGGAGTGATGACCGAAACCGACGGACACAGGCAGCCTGGAGGGGCGCAACGACGCGGCAACAGCGCAAGAGGTGACCGGAGCGAACCAACCGAACGCAACCGACTGCGACGCAGCCGATCCCGTCGAGCCGCGGACACCCTCGAGGACCCCTTCCCACGCGCCGACCCGCGCGCGCCGAGCCCAGCACGGTCTCCACCTTGAATGTGCCTGGGCACTTGAGGTTGGCGGCGCACGAGATGGCGCCGCAGGGGTCCTTGATCTCGGGCGACGACGCGTTCACGGACGTCTGCACGAGCATGGACGTCTTCAGGTCCTCTCGGAGCGCGCAAGCTGCAACACCAGATCGCCCTCACCTCGCGCGTGCGCCGCCGCGCGAAGCGCGCGGCGTGACTCACTGCCTGCGCGCCTTCGCGCGGCCGCCGCTGGAGAGCCACAACTCTCTGGCCCAGGCCGCCACGCGCTGAGCGCCCGATGGCGACCTGGATGCACACCTGCAGCCTGGAGGCGGCTTGGCGGCCTGAGCTGGAGGGACCTCGAGTAAAAGGAAGGGGGGTAAGATCAAATCCAAGCAAGATCTGTCCCAGGACCCCTCCCGGGGTCTCCCCGGTGCAGTTCTTCATCCCAGCTTTTCAATGCCCTGGAGTCCGAAAACAGCGCCCAGAGGGCAACAAAAAGGCAAACAAACAAAAAAACAATCTCGAACCCAAGAACCTCAAGCCTGCCGACCCCCTTCCTGCTCCCTGGGCCAGAACCAGTGGGCCACCTGGGACCCCAAGCCGACTCCAACCTGCAGCGATCCTGGCCGGGCCCATCGTGGGCGCAGGATCGGTGCTGCGGGCGAGATTTATATCCATCCCCACTGCGTCTTGGACCGTCTGAGAAGCGGCACCAAAAGGCCGAGGCGCAGTGGATTGGAAAACAAATCTAGCCCCTAGCAACCAAGTTCATATCCACTGCACCTCGGGTGTCTGGAAAAGGGAACCCGAAACGGAAGTCTGGGGCGGTCTCACCACCCTGGCGCCGCAGCGCCCCAAGGTTGAGGTGTTCAGACCGCCCCGAACTGGTCGGGGGGCCTGTTGAGGCCAGCCGGGGCTACCTGGGGGGGCTTATGAGGCCAGCTGGGACTACCTTGGGGGCCTGTCTGTGCGCAACCCGAAGCCTTACCAAGACACATCCACCGATCTGGAGGCGTGCTCCCGATGACACTGGGGCCCTGGGCAGCTCTGGACGTGCTCGAGGGCGCGCCCACAGATTCGTGATGTAATGAATGCAGCGCACGCCCATATGGTCGGAAGTAGTCGGCATAAACATGAAGTAGGAAGACGCTGAAAATATATTGAAATCTGGGAGCACCGAAAGACATACAACGACTGATGGGCAGGGGTGTGCGGTAAGGATGCAAGAACCTTGGGCGCACAAGTTGAGTCCTTCTGAGCGAAGCTTGCCAGCGACAGCAGCTAATGTTTGACCGAATGCACGGATGAAGCGGTGACCTTGGACAACCGCACGTCGTTATGATCCGGGCTTGGCTGCAGATCGCCAGAGTGGAGGTCGGCGCCCCCTCCCGATCCTTGTCGAGCGCCACCACCCACTTCCCGAAAGACAGGGCGCTCATGTCGTGCCGACCCTTGAGCTGGGCCTCCGCCACCTCGTCGTCGCGCTCCTGGCTCACGAAGCTGTCGTGGATCTGCAGGTTCTGGGCGGCCTCCGCCCTGACCTGGGAGCAAAGGAAAGCGACACGACCACCACCACCACCACCACCACCACCACCACCACCACCACCACCACCACCACCACCACCACCACCACCACCACCACCACCACCACCGCGAGGCGTCCAGGGAGGGCCCTCCTCGTGGTGCTAGCCTCCTTGCCTGAGCGGTATCCCGTCCGAGGCATCTCCAACCTCCAGCACGGGGATGATTAGCATTCGAGAGATCCCTAACCCTTTGGGAGCGGGCCTATAGCACATTAGGGACAGGGGTGTGTATCAAACCAGACCAACCATATTCGCTATCCCTACTGCACAGACGGGGACCTACGTTAGGCAGCGACTTCGTTGTGCTATTAGGGAGAAGGGCTTTGGAGGCAGCAAAATATCCACTCTGACAATAAGCAATCCGACAAGCGAAGTCATCTTGCAAACGCACCCAAGGAACGAATGTAACAGGGAAGGGCTGGTCAGCAAACGCCCAGGGCCGTTTAGTAAACGCCACCTATCGCGGTAGGAGTGGCTCTCCCTTCCTAGATTTTTCTTCTCGATGAGGGGAGGCCTCGTGGACCTCCTCGGCTCGACGAGGGCATCCAAGCGTCTGGCGCAGAGTGCGACCTCGTCGGAGGCGCCCGGGAGGCGATCCGCGGCCGCACGGCCGGACTCCCGCGCCGAGGCGGCCAGAACCCGTCCGCGCGTGCGAGGGAACGCACGAGTCGACGACTCGATGCAAAAGTGGCGTGTTGTGGTCAGAGGGAGCCAGGACGAGGATAACCTCGGGTGGGCGGCGGCTTGAGGGAGCCAGCACGCTCCTGAATCGCTCGGGCGGGCCGCGGCTTGAGCCCAAATGGCTTGAGCCAAAATGTCTTGAGCCAAAACCGCCACGGTGCCCCCCTTCTCCTCCTCCTTCTCCTCCTCCTCCTCCTCTTCCTCCTCCTCCTCCTCCTCCTCCTCCTCCTCCTCCTCCTGCTCCTGCTCCTCCTCCTCCGCCTCTCCTCCTCCTCCTCCTCCTCCTCCTCCTCCTCCTCCTCCTCCTCCTCCTCCTCCTCCTCCTCCTCCTCCTCCTCCTCCCCCGCCGTGGGTCGTCTCGAGCTTTGCGCGTGGGCGCGCCGAGACGACGGGCGCACAGTGCGGGGCCGCGGACCTCTGGTCTCGGATATGAGATCGGGTGGACGACCTTGGTGGTGGGGTGGAGGTGCCCCAGGTTAAAGGCCATGCTCGCCGCAGCCAGGACGGCGACGTCGAGCAAGGCATGGTCAAGCGCTGGGGCAATCACTATGCTGACCGTGGCGCTCGGGAGGGCGCTTCCCTCCACCCTGTCGACGAGGCGGCGACGGAGCGCGTGAAGCGCACCTTCCGCCCCGGAACATTCGTGGCCGGAGCCAGCAGGATGCACCGCGGCACGGACTCCTGCGGCGTGCGCAGCAGCGAGGTCGCGTCCCCGAGCTGACGGCGGACACGGCGCCGCCCGACGGCTCCCACGAGCCCGTGCCGTGCGGCAAGGGCTTCCGATGCGCTCGCTGCTACCGCGTCGCGAGAACGCGCGACGCCTTCTCCCCCGCGGTGTGTGCCCCAGGAAGAGGCCATCGCGTGTGGAGCGTGGGCTCCTTCCTTTTCTGCGCGAGGTGCGGGGCGCACCCGAGCGCGAACGCCCAGCTCCTCGCGCGGCTCGAGGCTGTCCCCCCCCCACAGCCGCGGCCCCGCTTGGGGCGCCTGTGGGCTGTGCAGCACCCGCGCACTGGCCCGTCGCTGCTGCGCTCGGCCAGCGGCACGCCTTGTCGGGCACCCTTTCCCTTGTCGGGCACGCGCCCGAGTCGCCTAGCCGTGCCTGCAAGCTGGTCGCCGCGCCTGTTAAAAAACTCCTCCTCCTCCTCCTCCTCCTCCTCCTTCTTCTTCCCATCTAAAACGAGGCCAGGGCGAGAATAACCTCAGGTGAGGATAAATCGAACATCTCTGAGATCCGGCGGCTGTAGAGGTTCTCTCGGGCGCTGCGGTCTTCGCAGAACGTTCCGGAACGTTCTGAGAGCGTTCCGGAAAGCTCTGGAACGGATTTATCCGCGTCCTAGCCCTGGCCGACGTGGACCTCCTTGCTGGGAGTGCCCCGCTGATACTGGTGACTCCACCAATTCGATGTCGGAATTTGGCTCAATACCGGAAGTCCCGACCCTGTTCCCCAGGGCCGGCTTGCTCCCTTCCCCGAACAGGCTCGCGACAGCCCCGTGGCCTGGCGAGGGGCACTGGAATCCGGAAACGACGAGTTCCACGTCTTGCCTTCTTGCCGAGACGGCGGATGTCTTGGGTGGACCTCATCGCTACGAGTAGGAGATCGACTACAGAATCGCCTTACTCAAAAATTGAAATGTTCGTCGGATCTGCAAAATAATACGTCGAGTTTTTGTAGATGTACGAACATTCGACGTATTTGTTCGTAGACCCGACGGATAGATAAATTCTGGGGTAAATCAGTTCTGTAGTCGATCTCCTACTCGATCGCTGGAGGTGGCCCGAGTGCGGTGCTGGTGCAGGATCAGTCAACATCGAACCGGGAAGTCGGATCGGACCGAAACGTCCTGTGGCAACCCATGGGAGCCTCCCATGGCATCTTGCTGGCTGTTGCGAATCGACGCTGGCCGACGCAAATCGATGCTGATCGACGCTGGTAGACGTCAAATCGAAGGTCGTCGACGCTAAATCGGAGCCATCTCATCGATTACCAGACGCTAGCGCGCGCTAATGCAATCTGAAGACGGACGTGCGAGGACATACAAAGCCCCCATGAATTGCTACCAGAGAAGCGTGCGTCGGATCGGGCCTCATCACCACGGAACCGAAATCAAATCGGCTGCGCCAAGATGCACGGCAGCGCCGTGCAAGCACCGGGCCGCATACGATCACCGGAACATCGAAACACGGAGCGTACCGGGCCGGCTGGAATCGATCTCGGCTCGAGTCGATCGGATCGAAACGAGCCCAGTAGTGGTGGTGTCGGGCGTTCGGCCAGTAAAGGGGGGGTGAGGAAACGTGCAGCCTTCGTGCACCTTTTGGGCCCGCGGCTGCAAACTTAGGGGCCGTTCGGGGACCCTTTGGGGCCACTTTCCTGACCTCCTCCATCATCCCTCCGTTTAGTGCCTCCTCCCTCCACCGAACGCGCAATGGTGCCCCGGACATGCGATGCAGTCATTTTGTTCCATGCGCGGTCCCTGGACGTCACCTCCCTCCCCCACACCCGACAATGCGTCCCGAGTCGTGGAGTTGTCGGTCCCGATGTCCGGCGATGGCCCCAAGAGGCCGACAGCGGCAGAACACCTTCCGTCGCGACTGCTCCTCGACGCACGCACGTGGCGGGTCCTTAGCCCTGAACCCCAAAGAATCTGCTGGGCGGCTTCGTGTTCCATCCGCCGGCCTCCGCCGCCCTCCCGCTGGCTTCCGCCAGCGGTTGCGGCCTCGAGTTCTACTTCCGCCGACCTTCCGCCGCCTTCCGCCGAGGAAGAGATGCCAACTCCTTCGATCCTCGAGGGCGAGCCCCTGTCTGGAACTCGCCATGTCTCGGGGGGCTGGACACCACTGGCAGCACCCAGCGCGATCGCTCCTCGTCGGACATGGCGCGGCAGGGCACACGGGTGGCGCTGGATGGCTGGGAGAAGGGGGGAGGGGGGCGGGAGGAGCATCAGGAGGGCAGTGGGGTCGACGAGAGTGGGGAGGAGGGGGGCACCAGAGAAGGGGCACAACAGAGGCAGCGGAGGAGGAGAAGGGGGAGGGGCAGCAGGATGACGGGCAGGGGGCGGAGGGCGAGCATGTCTGGGGTCGCTCCTGGTAACCCCCCGAACGCCCTCGGCGAGGCGCCGTCGCTGGAACGCCTCCCGAAGCTGGAAAACCTTCGGGCACCGACGAACACGCCCGAAGCCGACGAGAACCTCCGGGAACCCCTGGGAACCCACGAACGACTCCAGTCGCGATCTGCTCTCGGCGCGAGCACGTCTGGGGCCGCCCCTTCCCCCCCCCCCCCGGCCGGCGACCTCCGCCGACACGTCGGGGGCGCTGCGAAGGCGCGACGCGCGGGCCTCGACGGCCCGGCCCGCCGCCGCCGCAGGGGGCAGGGCGAGCAGGAGGAGCGCGAGGAGGGCCGCGCGCTGCATTGCTGCGGGCTGGGGGGCTTCGCGGGAGGCCGCTCGGGTGGGGCCGAAGCAGACACGGCCCGCGTGCCGAACGACGGGAGGCAGAACATCCACCCCCACAGTAAGCGCTCCGACAAGCGAAGCCGTTCAGCAAACGCACCCTGGGAAGGAATCGAAAAGGGCGGGGCTGTGTAGTACACGCCCTGGACCGCTGAGTAAACGCCAATTGTCGGTTCCGAGTGATTTTTCCGCCCTTGAAACGAATCGACCACACGCAGGAGCGACCCTGGGCAAGAGTGACTCTTGGGGGCGCGGGAGGGCCAACGCCAAGCGCGCAAGCCGCTGCTATCGCATCGCGTTCCGCCATCAGGGGGCCCCAATGTGCCCGCAACAGAGGCAACTGCTGCGAAGGGTCGAGCACCAATTGAGGCTTCGCCATGGCTACCACCGTCGCCAGAGAAGGACTCCAGAGTTTGAGGCCTCCGGGGCACATTCCCCAATCAGCGCACCCACCGTACAGCCATCGTGATGAACGAGGCGAGCCTCGGCCACAAAGAGGCTCCCCGACCTACGGTCGGGAACATTTGCTTAGCGTGTCGCTGCGGCGGCCACGGCGACGCGCTATCCCCTGCGAGCGGAGATCCGCCCCGCGGGGCTGGAGGCTTGTAGAAAGCTCGAGACGCTGACGCTCGGGACTGGGGAATGGATAGCGTGCTGCGCCGAAGCGTGGCGGGCCAGAACCGGCGGAGCGACACGCTAAGCCACAGCTCCTGACCGTACAGTTATCGTGCCGAACGAAAGGACGTTCCCGGCCACGGCGAGCCTCGGCTACGAAAAGGTTCCACGACCCAGATAGAAGGAGCGGCCCTAGAACCTGGGCCCCTACTGGGCCAAACATGGCCCTTATTGCAGCGCCTTGCCTGCGTGGCCGACTTCGAAAACCCCGAACCCAGAGATGTTGACGTCTGCAGCAGCAGCAGCAGCAGCAGCGCGCGCAACTCGCTCCTCTGCCATCCACGTCTTGACCCCACTGCTACCTGTCCTCCCCCACCTCCTCCAGCTCGTCCGACTCTCCCAATTACTCCCCCGCCCTTCTCCTCCTTCTCCTCCCCCTCCTCTCTTCTTTCCCATCTTCTCCCTCCTCTCCTCATTCCCCTCCTCCTCCCACTCCTTCTCCACCTCCCTCACCCTTCTCCCCCCCGGACACCCCGACTCCTCATGCTCCCCCTCCTCCGATGGCAAGGAAGACGACTGTGAGGACGACGATCATGATGACAACGACGACGAGGACAAGGACGACGCCGAAGACAACGAGGGCGTAGACGACACCGACCACGAGGACGACGCCCGTGACGACGAAGACGACGACGAGGACGACGGTGGCGACGACGAGCACGCCCACGACGACGACGACGATGACGACGACGAGCACGACGACGACAATCAACGATAACAACGACGACGACGATGACGACGAGCACGAGCACGAGCACGAGCACGAGCACGAGCACGAGGACGACGTCGGACCCCGCCCGAGCGCTCTCGGGCGGGCCACTGGCGCCGCGGGCGTGCCGAGCGGGAGAGGGCGCAGGGTCGGGCTCGGAGTGGCGGATGGCGGCGGGGAGGGGAGAAGAGAGGCGGAGGAGTGAGGGAGAGACGGAGGAGGGAGGGGCGGAGGAGCGAGGCGAGGGAGGACGGAGGGGATGGATGGAGGATTCGGAGGCAAGGTGCGAGGGAGGAGGAGGAGGATGAGGAGGAGGAGGAGACGGGAGAAGAAGACGAAGAAGAATAGTAAGAAAAATAATAACGATAATAACAATAATCGGAATCATATTATTATGATGTTCGGTGGCCATTTTGTCTCAAAGCTGTTCGCAGGAGACTCGTATCCCCCCGGCACGCGGAGGGGGGGGGGGGGGGACGGCAGAGCCCGCTGGGCCGCGCCGCGGCCCGGCGGGCGCCAGCAGCCACGATGGAACAGCGGTCTCGGCATGGTGCGCTCGCTCGGCGCGCGCAGCCGATCTGGGTGACGGATGCCGCTTTCTGGGCCCGGCAGGCTCGCCTCGCCCGACGAGAGGAATTGCACCGGAGAGCTCCAAGCACAGCTAGGTCAGTGGGAGAGTTGGCGGGCTCATCGAGAAACAAAACGATGGCAGTGGTGGCAACAGAGGCACGAACCAAACGTAAACGTCATCAGCTGCAGTGTTGGGGTCGGTCCCCTCTTGTGAGAAGGCCTGGCAGTGGTGCGAGAAGGGCCGGCAGCGGTGCGTGAAGGGCAGGCAGTGGTGTGAGGAAGGCGGGCAGTGGTGCGAGAAGGGCAGGCAGCGGTGCGACACGGGCTGGCAGTGGTGCGAGACGGGTCGGCAGAGGTGCGAGAAGGGGCGGCAGTGGTGCGAGACGGGACGGAAAGTGGTGCGAGACGGGCCAGCAATGGTGCGAGAAGGGCCGGAAGGTGGGGCAGTGGGGGCAGAGGCCGGATACAAGACGCAATCAACTACAACGTGGCACGCGGACCGCCGTGTCCGTACCGTTTCCAATGTCTTTGCAGGTTTGTACACCGCCCGCTATGGATATGTACTCGGTCGTCTAGGCTACTCGGACATCAGGAGGAGCAGAAGAGAAGAGGAGGAGGAGGTAGAGGGCGCGAAGCACGAGCCCAACGTGATCAGCCACGTGGGTGGTGTCGCGAGGCACGTGGCCGACGCCATCAGTTACAGGGGTGGCGCAAACAAGCACGAGCCCAACGTCGTCAGCTACGAAATTGGCACAACGAAGCACGAGCCCAACACCATCAGCTGCGAGAGTGGTACAGTGAAGCACGAGCCCGACGACTTCAGCTACGGTGCCAGAAGGGACGGCAGTGACGACCAAGACACTCGGGCGGCAGCGGCAGGGGCGACAGAGGCAACTCAGGCAATGGTAGCTCGGGCAGTGGCAGCTCACGGTAGTGGCAGTCCAGGCAGTGGCGGCAGTGGCAGTTCAGGCAGGGGCAGCTCAGTGGCAGGGGGGGCAGCGGCAGCTCAAGGCAGTGGCAGCTCAGGCAGTGGCAGCCCAGGCGCAGTGCAAGAAACGACGCCGCGTCCCAACCACGACATCCAGGCGCTACTCAGCACGGCGTACAAGCTATTCATAGCACGACGGCCCAAGGTGGCACTCAGGGCGCTTCAAAAAATCTACACAAGTCCGCTCCACACGCCATGCGGCATCCTGGTATCCAGCACCTGCACGACAACATCGCTTTTTACCTCAAGGGCGGGCAGTGCTACGAGCACCTGGTGGAGGAACAAAGGCAGATATACACAGCCGAGGAGGAGCAGGAGATGTCTGAGAGCGACGCAGGGGACTAGGAGGACGAGAGCAGGGTGTGGGGGGGGACAAGTGCACGTTAAACAAGCGCAGCGGCACGCCGCAGGCGTGGGGAACTGACCTTCCGATGTCGACTGGCGCGACCTAAAGGACCAGATGAAACAATCGGGCAGCGTGGAAGTCTGCACAATGCTCACAGAGGACGGAACTGTCTATGGCAGATCGTTTGGATACGGTCAGCTACGCTTTCCCACAGACAAGGAATCTAAAGAAGCCATCGCCCCCCTGGACGAGACGAAGCGCAAGAACTGGAGGATTCGAGTTCGGACGTGGTCTGGCGCAGAAGAGCGTTATCTACCACGTGCATCGTAGAACGGTGGTGGTGTCGTTTGCGAAGAGCTGGAATGGCTCAGCCTGGGATCTGGAGTGAGCACCGCCCAGCGCGAGCCCGAGTCAGGAACCGCTGCAGCTGATCAGCGCGTGCGGGAGGCAGGGAGCGGAATGCGGCGGCCTGGCCAGGGGCCTCGAGCGCCCCGGCGCGGGGCGGCTGCGTGTGGGGAGTCCGCCTGGGCGTGCGAGGAAGGGTTCTGCTGAATTGTGCTGCCGAGCCGCCAGGGATTCGAAAACGGATAGCTGCGGCAAACGAAGCCCGCCCTGCCCCCAGGCCTCTCCTCGGCGAGGAGCTTCAGCTTTGAGAGCCCTTCTTCAGGTGGGTGCCGACCTGGGCCCAGGAGGGGGAGGAGGAGCAGGGAGGACGGACGACGACTGATGCCTGAGGGAGCGAGCTCCGCCTCGCAGCTTGCCGTGCTCCAAAAAAAAAACGAACTTGCAACCAAAATCAAGAAGAGGAGGCGGAAAGGGGAGGCAGGGAGGATCGAAAGATGAAGGGGGAGGAGGGGGGTGAGGGAAGGAGGCACGGAGCGACAGAGGGCAGACGAAGGATGAGCAAAAGAAGGTGGAGGAGGAGGAGGCCATCTACATGCCCATACACATGGCCCGTTCACAGGCACAAACACATATGCTTACTCGTGCAAGTCGCCGTGCGCACTCAAAGGCACATCCAACTGAGATGTGCACACTGCGCAGCAGGAGGTGTGCACATGCATACAACGTTCATCCCGAGTGCAATCTCACTCTATAAGACTGCTTGTAGTTTTGTGCTAGCGAGACGGGGAGGATGAAGAAGAGGAATCAGCGCCTCCTTCCTCATCTTCCCTGCGCGCATCTTGGCAACATTATCCCTTTCGGAGACTGGTCTCTGCTTCTCCTTCCGAAGTGCCGCCGCTCGGCGGAAGATATTAAGATAAGAGCTCCTGACTCGCCACGCACACCCTGCATACTGGCGCCGCCAGGCTCAAACGATCCCAGTGCTTCCTGGGTATCCCGCCTCGCGTCTTCGACGAATGACGCCTGCATGTCGCGGCCGCCAGGCCCCAAGGAGCCGGCTGCTCCCTTGTTATCCCGCCCCTCGTTCTCGGGTGGGGATCGCTCAGAGCAGAGTGCTGGTACTTTGAAGACGCGGGCAATCTTAGAGGACCAAGCGATGACATAAACGTAAGCTTTCGGAGGTTCGCGCAGATTTCTTGGATCGGCGCTGGACCTCCCTCCCTAGCGCGCGGAGCGCGCAAGGGGCGGCGCCAGAATCGCCGGCAAGGGCTCCAGCGTCGATCCGAGGAGTCCAGGAGGACCCCGCAAAATTCATGTTTACTGTATGT